ATGAGCGGTCGTGTACGAGATGTACAGGCTATTATGGAAAACGCCGTAACTTTCTCAAAAATTGACGAAATCGATAAATTTTTTTTTTGTTTGATTCGGGAAAGTGAGCAGAATCAGCGCAAACATATAAGATGATGCAATATCGCAAAGTTCAAGCAGTTACTGCACACAAATATATAAGAGCTTGAACTGGTAATTAATAACAAACTAAAGGTTCGAAAACTATCAGAGTAAAGCCGATTAAAATTAAGAAAAGACAAAAATGTTTGGATCTTCTACGCTTCTCCAAATTTATATTAATCCCGACACGAGATCCAGAGGGATGGCAAATAATAAATTTAAAAAGTGCACTGATGAGTGTCATAGCTTCGCCTCCCCCTAGGGATCTGACAGGGGTCATGAAACGTGAAAACACGTAACGTACTACTGAACTGAATTTGAATTTTAGGAAAGTCCATTGGTTTGTTTTATATGTTCCGAAAATTTCTCATTTGGAATCTTATTTCGTTTCCAATGTTCAGAGTGTCAGCTTTGAGTTTATCTAATATTGTTCTCAGTTTTCTAGATTCAAATCACTCACTTTAAGCCAGTACTTCTGCCATCAAATTTAGAGGGCACAACTTGGAATCACAGCGGTTCTAGTTAAGTCATTTATTTTATTCCCCGAACAAACAAGCAGGCAAAGCAAGACTAAGGTATGCACAATTTCCATCGATCGATAAACTTTAAAATTCTGATCACTCAGCTTCAAAAGCTTCTGCGGAATCTTCATCAGCAGCAGCTTCCTTAAATGATTTCATCAGAGTTGGATAGTGGATGATTTCTATACCTGATACTGTTGGTACTCCGATACCAGATCATTCATATTTGATTCAGCTTCAGTGAACTCCATTTCATCCATTCCTTCTCCGGTGTACCAATGAAGGAAAGCCTTTCTGCGGAACATAGCTACAACAAGCGATTGATTTGATATTCATGACAATAGCTCAACCTGTGAATTGTTCAGAAATTCGCTTGAATAGTTCTTGAATGGCTGTAGAGTTTCCGATGAAAGTAGCAGACATCTTCAATCCTCGTGGTGGAATATCACAGACAGCGGTCTTAACGTTGTTTGGAATCCAATCAACGAAGTATGAACTATTCTTGTTTTGAATGTTCAGCATTTGCTCGTCAACTTCCTGAGTTAACAATAATCGTATGAAGATTCCTTATAAGAATATCTTACTTTCATGCTCATGCGGCCACGGAAGATGGCTGCAGCAGTTAAATATCTTCCATGTCTTGGATCACAGGCTGCCATCATGTTCTTGGCATCGAAGCATTGCTGAGTTAGCTCAGGAACAGATATGGCACGATACTGAACCCGAAAATCATTTCGAAAAGCGTAAAAGGACATACTTGTTGATTGCTACGAGATGTCAATGGAGCAAAACCAGGCATAAAGAAGTGAAGCCGTGGGAATGGAACCATATTCACCGCAAGTTTTCGCAAATCTGCATTGAGCTTAAAATATGATATGAGCTGATTTCAATTATGCTTAAGGAAAAACCTGTCCGGGGAATCGAAGGCATGTAGTTACTCCACTCATTGTAGCACTCACGAGATGGTTCAAATCTCCATAGGTTGGTGTTGTTAGTTTCAGGGTACGGAAGCAAATATCATAGAGAGCCTGAAGAACAAAATAATCAAAAGTAGAACAGCAGTCAAAATACCTCATTATCGATACAGAAAGTTTCATCTGTGTTCTCAACCAGCTGGTGTACAGATAGAGTTGCGTTGTATGGCTCAACGACCTCAAACAAACAATTGTGAGACAAAAAAACGAATAGAAAAACATACCGTATCAGATACTTTGGGACTTGGGACAACAGAGAAAGTATTCATTATTCTATCAGGATACTCCTCACGGATTTTGGAGATGAGAAGTGTTCCCATTCCTGAACCAGTACCTCCTCCAAGGGAATGCGTCATTTGAAAGCCCTGAAGAAACAGAATGCTTTATCTTAGAAAAAAAACAGGTCGCTACTTGAAGACAATCACAGCTCTCAGCCTCCTTACGAACGACATCCAGAACATTATCCACTAGTTCAGCTCCCTCTGTATAATGACCTTTAGCCCAGTTATTTCCTGCTCCAGATTGTCCTACGAGAATGATAAGTCAGTAATCCATAATTACTTTCGCTCTACCGAAGACATAGTTGTCTGGACGGAAAAGTTGACCGAAAGGACCAGCCCTGACTGAATCCATGGTTCCAGGTTCCAAGTCAACCAGTACAGCTCTTCAAAAAAATAATCTAATGAAGGTTTCATGTCAGTGTCCCTCTAATCATTTTCATCTTCCAATCTGACAACTGCAAAAAGCTTCGCCTTCAGTCTCGCATACTAGGTTTCATATTCTCGCTGCTGGACAGTAAAAACATTTCCAATTAATAATAAATGTGCACGCGACTTTCATAAAATGGACGAATCCAACAAATGTTTTCTGTACCTCGAAAGAATGCTGAAACTATGCTGCAAGCCGATATATCTTTGGCTCGTAGTGATAGTCCATAATTCTGGGGTCTTTTGGGGATTTTGTCATTGGCTATTCTTCTTTCTGACATTTGTCACTTCAATATGAGGAAACGCAAAAAAATTAGGAGGGAAGCATGTTCTTCTCCTAAGACATCAACATTCTTTTTGTCAAAGGGAAATCTGATAATTTGCAAGCGATGATTCATTCTGCTTTTACAGCTGCCAAAGCGAATTTCGCATTCTTAAATAGAGCAGATGGCTACGACAAAAAACTTGGCCGGAAGCCGCAATTTCGGAATGAAAGCCTACAAACCTTGGGACATATTTATTGCTTCCAGCACTATTATAGTAGACGTTTATCCGTTCGAGTTGCAGATCCGAATCTCCAACATATTGGCCAGCTGGATCAATGCCATGTTCATCCGAAATAACTTCCCAGAACTATAAAACTCAAATTTAGAGAGCCATGCGATATTTCTGTCTTTTTCCTCTCAACATATTCGAGTCTAAGAGACGTCGCCTAACATAATAAAGATTAATAGTTTCATAACTTCATATTGTGGAACACAAACTACTGAGCGAAGCATCGGGGCATTAGTAATCGCATCGAATTTTTTTGTTGGAAAAATTCAAAATTCATTAGGTTTTTTGGTCCTCTCGCGTTGTTTCTTGCATTCGCGGTTCAGCATTGAACGAAAACTAAATGGAATGGCTATATATCGCCTAAGGTTATATTAGTTCGTCAACAAAATTCACAAACGATGCAGATGGAAGACAGCTAAGAACAAAATGAAAGAACGAAAAAAGATAATTGGATTGCTAAAAAGCTGTCGTTGCATAATGATGAGCCTGCCCCAGAGTCCAACCACAAGAAAATGAGCAGGCTGTTTCGGTCAAGTTGCTTCAAAAGACTTAATTGGAAAAATATATGACTATAGCTCAGCTTCAATTCTCTATATCACGTGTTCTCGATAACAATGGTCAATTACACTCCTTCAGGCATTTCTGATAAATGCCTTATGAGTTGCTACACGAGAAGGAATGCCACCGTTCTGTTCGTCATACAATAAACAAATGAAAACGCCATGATTCTCAGTTGCAACACGTTTTCAAGCACCTCGGGACTCATCTCTTATGTCTGATTACGATTACTATAATAGTGAAAGCCCACAAGAGTTAAGAATTCTCAACATAAAGAAACCTTGGGACTTAAAGTGGATGTTACATTAAACAAATAAACCGACTCACCTTGGATCCAATCTGGTTACCGCATTGTCCAGCTTGGATATGGACGATCTCTCTCATATTTGGTTTCTAACAAGTTCTAAAGCCGATGCTGGTGTTGCTCGTTCAAAGACTCCGCACTGGCCTTGCTACACGCTGGCTAGCTTCAAGACTAGGTTTAGCTCCTCCTCCTTCTGGTTCCTCCTCCCTTCTACGTTATGACCTCTAGCCTTTTCAGCAATGTGCCCAGTTCGTTCCATCTTTGGGACAAATGTCTGAAGCTCAACAAATTGTCTGCTTCTCAAATTTGGATACACTGCCTCGTGCATGCATATAAGATGCGCCTAAACCATTATACTGAATTACTAGTTCTCGAGGCTGCATTGCGGTTTTTCTATTGACCTTAGCTTATCTGAAACTTGAAGATGAACTGTTGCAAAAGAATGTATGAGAACCTTCCTATTTCCAGTCTCTCAATGTTTTGCTTTCTTTAAGAACTAATTTGCTCCTTAACGAGTGCTCAATCTTTGGAAGAGCCTGAAATACTACTACGAATGATGCTCAATAACAAATAATGGCTAGAATGGGCTCACATAATACCGAAAATTGAAAACTCACTCAATTAACTCTGCCGATGATGTCGGCCGTTTCCCTAATGTGTATGTTCATTTTGATCAATGGGATCTGTTGAAAATACGCCTCTCTTCATTTGTTCAACAGAAATTATATTCCTCAGCGAATCCAGGGTTTTGGAAGCTGGAAAAAGGATCTTAGAAAGACAAATAACCTTACTCATCAACCTCGTTTCGGAGTTTATTCAATTGGAGAAGTTCTCCATCGTCTCAAAAACTTCTGATGTCCATGCTTACGATATGTGGAGCAGCTTCATTCAATCGTGATATCCTCATAAATATCCAAATAGTCTATGGCTTCAGCTATTTCAATGGGTATGTCCCACGTACAGTTTCTGACATCTGTCCATACATAAAGAATATCTTGCTCAATACGTGCTTGGAACACGATTTCTTTTTATACAGATGGCAGTCCATTGCGACCATTAATACTTGAACAGCCTGGAATAAAGTGAGACAGCAATAGAGAAGAATCTTGAGGAGCAAAACTATCTGAAGGAAAACAGTGGCGTTTTATAGTGAGTTTATGTACAAACTTGAAACAATTATCACAAATGGAATGAAGATATCATTAGGATCATCAATAAACACTGCATCAATACCAAAATTTAAAATTCAACAAGAGGATTTCAATAACCTTCCGTTGGTTTATGTTAAGCTCAGAAATATTCCAAATAGCAGCTCTGCGTCACAGCTTAGCCGGTTCATCAAAGATAAGTTTAGGTGACTATATTATAACAATTAATATCGCGCAAGCTCTGGGATCTCAGTAATGACCAGTTGTTCCTTTTTGGGCTTTCTTCTTCATACGTTCACCATGCTGCTCTTGCCGAGCTCGATGTTTCTCTAATCGATGCTAAACTAATTGTATCAGAAACGTTAAGTGAATGAGTAAACATCAAACTATAAGGACATGACTCTATCAAGTTTTCTTTAACAGTTTTACAACATTGAGTGATCTTACCCGACGGTCAGAGTTCACCTGACTTTTGATGCTACTTTCAGAAAAATGACATTTTCAGGTTTTCGGTTTCAAAACTTTGAACTCATTTTCTGTTTGTTTTTCACAGAAGCTGCTATTGCGTGATGAAGTAAATAAAAAAATGAATACCTCTTGAAGTGTGGAAGATATGTCATCATCCCAAGCAGCTTGTCCATCATCATCAAGTTCGCCCAATTCGGAAGTTGCCTGTAAAATATAATTTCAATAAAGAGCTCCAGGTCACCAAATTTGAATGTTCACACAACTATCAATCTCTCGTGAATTCATCTCGCTCTAGCGACAGGTTTGATGAACGGATAGTTTATAAAAACCAACAAATCCTGATTATATGAAGAACACAGATCTTATTCTACGTGGAACTTCTCTTGATTTAGGAAAACTCTCATTTTTTTCTCAGTCGAGAAAATCGCCCCCGCACTTACTAAAGAAATTAGCTTCTGATAGGAATTGAACTGTTTCTTTAGAACCCTGATATTGCCTCAGTTCGCCTGTATAACCAGACAAGTTTGTTGAGACCTAGACGAGAAACAAATACGGGAAAACATAGATTATCGCATTGATCATTTCAAACAAGCAAACCTTTATAGATATCGACAATTTCAAAAGAAGATTCGTATCTGGCTAATATTATGATAATCGGTTCAATTCTAACGTCAACAGTGAGAAACTTTGCAGATCAGCTATATCTTCCGTATATGCTCTTACGCTCATATCGGATAATCTTGTTTCTTATCCAATTTCGAATCTCCCTGGCAACTCTATTTGATCATAACTTGAGAGAATCGTTAATGCTTTTTCGCCGTCCCATAACAATAGAGAATAGCACTTCTCAAGAATTGCAAGCTCTTCCGTGCGACATGTTCAGCTATACTACCTTGTAGGAAAGGCATACAGAAAACAGGTTTGGTAAGGATATGATGCCCAACCCCTTTTCCATGCTACTGTCCTACCTATTCCCGTGCTTCATGTATCTTTCGAGCGGTTTTTCTGCCTCCGTCCTCTTTTTTTACTGTGATAGCTGATTCCGAATACGGATGTCTATCATCTATCCAACTTTTTTTTACTTGGGGCGGTTCGCTCAAGTCCAGACAACATAAACCTTGTCCTCGGGTCAACCATCCGATTAGCTGCTGGTTTCCTTTAACATTCGTTAAAGGTCTTCAACGGCTCATCTCATTCGTTAAATAGGCTTGAAAGCCAGCCCGTTTTTCTATAAATGGCCTAATAATTATACAATTCTCACTTTTTTCTTACTTGATGAATTCCTATTCCAGAATGAAACAATTCTTAGTTTTGGCACTGCTCCCTGCTCTGTCATATGCAACCGTTCAGTGCTACGTTGGTCAAAAATTATTTAGTTATGAATCTAACAACGTAAGCTAGAGTTCTGAGGACACGAATCAAAGCAAGTGTTCAGGCTGTGTGCGCCAAGTTCATTCCATACGCTTGCGCTGCTGATTGTGAATGGAAAAAAGACTGTTCCGAGCATCACTCTTATTCAGCATTCAAAGGACGTCGTACTTTTGTATCTGGGCTCTTGATCAACTCAAAATCCCTGATGGTTCTATGTTGTGCTTCACTTGCCACAAGAGTGGAGGCAGGTAAGCTAAAATCGAAACTTCTTCATTCTTGAATGGTTGTGCAGATAATCAAGGAAGAGACAAGTGTGTTTGGAGAGATGCCGAATCAATCTCCGTACTAGGACCCTCTATTCGTACAAACCCTGTATTAGCACCAAACCATTATATTCGGTAAATTGAAGACTGGGAATTGAAAAACCTATCTATTCCAGTGATATCCGTCTTGAAAGAGATGGTACAGCTCGAGTTGATGTACAGCTCGAAGTTTGTCAATATCAAGACGAGTTAACTCACTGTATTGTCGACGTAAGTTCAGCCAAGCGGAGAGTATATGATCTTAACTATTCAGAAAATGACTGAGGCAGAGAAGAGAAGATACAGCTTTGTGAAACAGCGCTTGGACAACAGCAAATCCCCAGCAAATGTTGTATCCACAATTCAAAAAACCGGAGATGATCAAAAGAACCCAGAACCAAATATCATCAGTCAGAAAGCTACTAATGTCTGTTCCCCAAAAACCATAAGTGAGTAGAAATCACCAAACGAAAATTTCATAAGTCGCGATCAGGTCAATGTGGCAGAGATATACAATCTCAGATCAGTGCATGTTGCAAAGACAGAGCTGCATGTGATCGTGGATGTTTGAAGTCCGTTGAACAATCATTGGTAAGATAGTTACTGAACTCAATGATATATAGCATAACCTGTTACAGATTCATGAGAAAACCGAACACGTCAAAGGATGCACAATCCAAGAAGTCCAAGAAACTATTGATTGTTTGGGACGCTTGGTTAACACCCAAGTGTAAGCCACCCCCCATTTTGAAATTGTTATAATATTATTAATTCTAATTCCTGTACAAAACAAATAAAACTAATTATTAAACTGACCGGTGGTACAGCTACATCATCAGTATAGTTGAATAAGTTCTTTTTCTCAACTGAGTCTTGAGAAGACATTTTTGGTCTTAAGATGACCTGAAACGAATCATATAACCTAAGCCTATGTTCAACACAGACTTTTTTGGCCTTTTTGAAATCGGGCTGCATGTCATTGAAGAAATCGGGTTCCTGAGTTTCTTGAACTTGTGGAGGTGCTATCTGAAGTATGAGACATGTAATACTGGTAGTTATAATCTTAAAAACCTTTGTACTTCTCCATTGTTCAATTTTATTTTCTACGTTTTGCTTGGTATCCCATTGATTATCCCAACCACCAACTGAATCAGTCGAAACTCGTTCCGGAATCGAAATGTCACTAGGATTATTCTTGGCAACAACTACTAAAAAGTTTATAGAAAACTCAAAACTGCCTTTACAATAACGGCCAAACCTGTATATGGCAATTCCCCAATATGATCCCGTCGTCTACTGAAAAAACAAAGAATTCTGGAGCATAAAGCTGCTATGGATTTGAAGAGATGACCTATCCTCACAAGGATGAGTCGGAGGAACGTCATCTGCAAAGCAAAATAAGAGAGTAGTTGAATGAATGAGTATGATAGGTCAGAACCATTGATAAGAACTCGTAAAACGTAATGATATATAAATAAATATATATAGTATATGTATGAAGAAAATTATGACTAGCGTGAGCGAGAAGCTTAGTTTAACAATCTCCTTATTCAATGTAACCGAGAAAACTCAGAAAAGAATTAAAAATTAACAACTATGTACAGACTAAACTTCAGCACGGGGACAATATTAAACCGCAGTTCCTGCTTGTCTTTGTATCAGATGATGCTCAAGAAGAAACTTGAACGCATCTTTATAACCTGCTTCATAATAACTTTCGAGAACACTTCGTTTTGGAGGGAACAATGCTTGAGCTCCACGAACTATGTTCTGTAAGTTTACCTGAAACAGTCGCACAGTTTGAAAACGGAAAAGAACAACAAAACTGACCTTCATTGTGTGAGTACCTAACGTCATCTGCCAATCAAAGAGTATACTAGAATCGGATGGGGATATATCAGCATTCCCACTGAAAGGTGAAACTGTGATAGTTCTGATATCTTTGAAGTCAGGAAGATTATTCGTATATCCACCATCTATGTAAGCCTGCACACAAAAAGAATAAGAAGACTACCGGTCTTGCTTACCACATCCTCGATAACCGGAGGTTGACCTGCATATCCCATAGAATAGATTGGAATGTAGCAACTAGCTAATAAACACTTAATCAGATGTTCCCTAGTTGGAAACGATTTAACGAGAACATTATCCCTAGACTGAAGATCAAATGAGAGAAGGAAAACAAAAAATCGTTACATCTTGAGCTGTTAATGAAACGTAGAGTTTATTTTCCGCAGCGCTGATATCTTCAGGCAAATAATCTTCAACGACCTTAAAAGAGTCTGCTCGATTGTTAAACAGCAAGAAATACCTTTATAAGCTTCTCATTAAGATAATAGCCGGGAGTTAAAGCACCAAATTTGAGAGAGTTCAACTCGTCCGCCATTGTGTAAAGCATGTCCAATGCCCGAGGTAATCTATATGAATCAGAATAAGAAAGGATGCAGAATGATTAAACAAACTTCTCGGGGTTGAGAACAAGCAGAGCCGCAACCAAAGATCCAGCAGAAACTCCACTAACACGCTTCAGCTTCGACATCACAGGCTATATATTCTCTAATTGCAATACTCGAATGAACGAATACCTTTCCGTTTCTCAAAAAACAATTAACAACTCCAAAATGATATGAACCTAAAAAGCCACATCCGCTCAACGAGAGGCAGAATTCCGGAATTTCTAAAAATGGAACTGATTATCGAATAGAGTTCAATCAAAAACCATGTAACGGTAATCTACATATTCCTGGCCTGACGATCATCTTTTCTTCCTTTTTCTGCTCTGCAGACTTCTCGGTAGGCAAAATGCTATTCTTTAAGAACGTTGAAACCTAATCAAGAAAGTTCTTAATAATCTGTCATAGCAAATAAACCGATTCTATTGATATTGTTGGGGTTAGCCGCCGTTCTTTTGGTTTTGGTTGCGTGTCGTTGTTCAAGGAATTCTTCCTTTCTTTGTTTTGGCTGCAAAGCTTCATATAGTTAAGACATTAAACCACGCTCACTTCTTATCTTCTACTTCCTCAACGACATCAGAAACTGTTTCTTCAGAAGAAGTCACTTTAAAATCGGGGGCACTTTGCGAAGCCTTAGGCAAACCCTTCTTACATTTCTTATCAGGATCGCTCTGAAGCTCACATTGTATTGGACACAAATCAATTGGAACAAACCATCTAACTAAGTGATAACATATGCATTAACTGATACTCTAAACTTATCCTGTACAAGCTTAAGACAGGAAACTAGCTTATTGGAATGTAAGGATTTTCTTTGAAATTTCAATATTCATACGTAATTTCCCGTCGTGTTCAATGCGCTTTCTGAGAACTGCAAAAACATAACATTATCTCAATCGAAGCAAAATTGAAGAACATTCAGAGAGCATAGACACATTACAAATCATATTTCAAGAAACTATTTCGAAACATATGTGCCCAGAAGATTTTTCTATCTATTTGTAGTAATAAAATAATAATAATATTCAAACATAAAGCGTAAACCCTTCCAAATTACAAAAAAAAACAACCGCACTCTAGCATAGTGAAATCAGAATGAATTTGAAAAAAAGGACGCCGATCAGTGTTAACGCGTGGCATCCCACGTTCACGTGAATTATTCTAATTTCGCATGTTGTGGTGATCGGTTGCGTTATACCCCTCTCTGAACAGCCATTGACCTGGATGTACTGGTTTCTTTCAGCTCTCATGAAGCCCCTCGATACCCGATACGATGATCAAAACATATCAAGCAAATCTGATGTAGATGACCGCTAATGAATCAGTAGCAAAAGGTTTACAAAAGTATCTCTATTTCAATAATTTTCTTATTTATTCAGGGCTTGCCAGCTGTAATAACACAACGTTAGATGACATGACATTGCCTTTCTCCTAATCCTAAGTGAGCTTAGGCTTATGTGAGTTCATACCTTCATATAATTTAAATAACTCTCCGTAAAGCATCGAAAATCGTTCATATCTCTGTTATAAACCTAGGTCTAGTGAGTAGGTGGTCTTATTGAGATAAGTAGAAACAAGCCAAAGCTTTCTTTGCCAACCATCTCTCAAGCTTGCATCTCCGTTTGAAGACTGCGGTTCTTTTTCTGTTCGTATAAGACTTCTTTGAATAATTTCTCAATAACATGTATTCCTCCATATCAGTTTCACATCACCTTCAAATGTTTCTCATGCTTATCATTAGAGAAAGCCTTTCCGTATTGAGATTTGAGACAAAACTTCAATTATCATGAAGATTAAATGGCTTGTTTGGCTCTTTTTCCTTGTACAATCTCTATATAACAATTTAAAGTTTGAAGAATTCTCAGATTTCGTACCAATTATAATTCCAGATGAGCAGGAGGAAATTGGCTGTCCAGCTGTTTGTTCTAGCTATAGCGATTGTGAGTTAGACTGACGTAATCCAGAAACATCTTATTATAGTATATTGGATGTAACCATGACGTTATAACGTCATCCACATTAATAAAATCCTTTGTCACCTACTGTTCTCAGAAGTTTTCTCATTCTTCTCTATATTCGATCAAAATACCAAATAGGAGGTCTGAAGAGAAACTTGCGAAGAAAAAGAAAGAGATCGAAACACATCTCGTGGAAAAGGTAATCTGCGACCAATAGCTTCTGATCTGAACGTTTCTTACAGTCTCCTATGGTGCTCAATGAAGTATGTAGTCCTAATTCAGATATATGTTACATGATTATTGATGAAGCAATGCGTTACAAAGATGAGTCTGTACATTTCCACTTGCAACATCCTAATTCCCACCTATGTTCAGACTCATAGTTAAGAGGAGAATAGCACTCAAAAAAATGCCTAATTATGCGCTGACAATAGTTGATTTGAATGTCCCTGCAGGTAGTTCTCGTTTCATAACTCTATAGTTAGACGGCTTTTCTCTAGATTTAACTTGGAGTAATCTGAACACTCGAAATTGGCCGGTAAATAAACTTGTTATAACCACTCGTTATATCAAGCTTTTAATTGCTGCCAGTTTTTTCACTGAGGTTTCAATTCTATAGTTAAAACAGACTAACACATATATGCAGGCTCTTACATTCGAACCTACGGAGCAACAGAAGGTTCTAATGATTGGCTTAGGAGGAGGTGTAGCTAGTAATTTCCTATCAATGCTAGATTGGTTAATGGTAGTAGACGTACTGATTACCAAAAGAGAAACTCTTTTTTTAGATTCACACAACTGTCGTAGAAATCGACCCATTCATTTACAATATAGCTCGTCAATTCTTCGATCATACGGATGATGACAGGACGAACGTCATAATCGACGATGGAATACAATTCTTGAAGACAGCCGTTGAGAATGGTGAGATTCTGGAGTATAATAGATTTTACACAGCTTGAAATTCAGAAGAAACATACAATGCTCTCATGATTGATGCTTGCCATACGGAGGACGAGGATATCTTATGTCCTATTGAAGAATTCTACATGAAGAACGACGTTATCAAAAATGTTGCTGATGTACTGGATGAAAATGGTATAGAACTTCCTGTCTCTCAACAAGCGCTCTCTGATTGTTTAGGAGTTATGACAATGAATATTCTATGTGCGAAGGATTCAGCTGAGAACGAAGACAAAATTCTCAAAGCATATGAGCCATTTTTCCCATCTTGTTTTCTCTTCAAATATTTAAGTCAGAGAAGGGTTTGTCTTTCTGAATTAGCAAAAGAATGTAACAAGTACATTTCCAGATGCTCATATGTAGTAAGAAACATAACTGGACATGGACCAGTCGGAAGAGTCGGTTCTTAAAAAATATACAACAGGTTGATGATGTATTTGAGTTCAAACTCTATGATTTGTTAAAAAATATTTGAAAATGTTATAATTTTTATAGTTTTAATAAAAGATTGCTAATTATTATCTTTATAACTCGCAGTAATTGACCGAATCACATGGTGGTGCTTCACAGACCAAAAAAGGAATGTTCTGTTTGATGTCAGCAGGATACCAATAGCCATTATCGTACATCATAGCATGCTGATCAAATTTCGCCCCGACCGAGACTCCCCAAGGATGGTAATCACCAAGCTAAAGTTTCAGATAACAGAAGATGGTTCGTTTTGTTTTATCAACTTACTTTGGTCCTGTCTTGCCAAAGCCATTCGCCTTCGAAAAATAAACCTGTCCAGATAACGTGTCCTGGTAATACTGTAAAGAGAGTTCTAATATGTTAATCATAGCTTTGCATACAGCTCCGTAGGAATTGCCCTTTATCAGCAGTCTGTACTGATGCTATGTAACCACTATGTCTCTGACGGCACAGAGCAGTTGCAGTTTGGAAGGTGTATTGCAAGCTGATTGGAACATAGCACCCTGAACGGTGTTATTGAAGACGTGGTGTAAGAAAATGAACCTAACCTGCAGTTGGCAACTCACGCTTATCGTTAGTCACACTATATGGTAGAGAACCATCTCGACAGAAACAATTACCTGCGAACAGAAGAAGCATGAGGTGTTAGTAATGAGAACATACTTTCTGTGAGAGCTACGATTTCGTCTGCTGTTGTCGTGTTTTCGTTCAGGAAATATCCTAAACTTGCGATATCTGCCAATTTTTCTGGCACTGGTCCATGATCGGGTTTCACCGCTGAACGGACCAAAAAAGCAATATAGTTTCGAAGGGGTAACGCTATACCTCTGGCTATGATAATACCTCCGGACAGCTTGAAATGAGTAGCTACTTGTTTAGGATCATTGAAGCCATTAGTACTATCAAATGAATGAGCATATGGAATAGTGACTCAGCTTACTTCAAATCGTCAGCAACAAGATAGATAATTTTTTTTGCGTTTGGTCTGGAGTTTGGTCCAGTCAGCTCTTCTGCAGCTTTAGTGATACCGCTATAACAAACAAATCATTCAGTTCCTGTTCTTCACTTACTCAGCCAAGTCTGTAGCGCCTGTTTTGCTTCCTACGAATGGAGGATTTATATTGAAGAGGTTATTGATAGATCCCAATGGAGCTACAGTTATTGCCATATCTCCATATACAACTACTCCAGCTTGCATGAAATGCTGAAACCAGAAAGTAAACAAGGTCACGTTTTAACTTAGCAAACTGACCGTTAATGGATATCCGTGCATTTGAATATTGAAGCTTTCTGATAAAGTAACAACGCTGAACCACATCTGGAGATTATCGGAATAGTGAAACGCAGCAAACTAATGAATTACGTTCTCAAAATCGTTATTCTTATTTCCAGATGATTCAATCACGAACATGACATCAGACCATACTTGGAGAGGCTCATTTCTTCAGAATGGAAGGTATGAATGTTCCAATGATTAAAGCTCTTACACACATCCAGGTCCATTATATTCCAGTTCCGAGCCAACAACGGTTCGACGAGGAGCTTGAGGTGTTGGCACCGGTGTTGACTGATCTGTTGTTAGCGACATGTTAGATGGATCTGCCGTAAGCGTCATGGTGGATGGATCTGTCGTTTGCGACAATACGAGTTCAGCGAACAGTAAAGCTGGAAGCTATCTTCTTTACTAAACTCACCTTTGAAACTCACTGAAGAAAACGGTTTTTCCGACCATCCTTGGGATACTCTTGGTAAACAATAAGTTTTACTATCACAAATGAAAAGGCATCTTTCCCGAAAACTGATAAGAAGAAGGTAATTCCCACTGGAGAATAACCATTGATGTTAGATTAAGAGCCTAACAACCAGGAATTACAACCCTCCATAAAAAATATCAGAAGATGAAGACCAGAAGTTCAAGTCAGCAAAACAATCTTTATAGACTACACGTTCAAGTTTATGTGAATAATGAAAACAGGAAGATTGGATGTATGGGAATGATTTATTAGAAAGACCATGTGCATAGTTTACTAATCATATTGGAAGATCATGTATTCATACTCGGCTTCGTGCCAATTATGAAAGAACGAAGTTCACGATGCCGACTAACAAATATAAGAAAGTTGAAGCCAGTCTGTTTATGAGATAAGCATGCTGGAAATGAAAAAGAGCAAACCTTGAAGAGGATGACCACGTACAGAGCCGTACGGATATCTGTTGTAACGAAACTAGCATCAATAAGTATTTGAGGAATTAATAAAAATAAAACAGTATTCAACATAATCAAAGCTTCAACACATTCATGAAATGGAAAAGAAGATAGATGGACTTACACATCGTCGTATTGCTCCTGATGAGCTTCTTTGAATTCTGCTTGCTCAACACCGTCAACTGATTAGCTCTTTTCAATCTCTGCAATTGAAATGAAGAGAAGACCCCCCAATGCAATACGATTACCTTATTCAATGAGAACCCTATGGCTATATAAACTAATCCAGCTAGAAGTACACATGAATACTGATAATAAACAAAAAAGTTCCGAGCTTCAGGATAAACGAATTCAACGAATCCACAATAGATATTCACTTGCTCGATGGATCGAGTGGGAGAAGTCAATACAAGTAATATATCTGTGCATAAGAATAAGATAGCAGCAGCAAAAGAGACTGTAATACAAGTCAATATAATCAGAACAAGTGATTGAATTTCCCAGCACTCTCTTTCTCTTTCCCAGCTTCACTGCAAAGCCATGCGGGAACTTTCCGAAACTTCGAGAAGGAACCGAAATTTCAAAGCACAAAAAACTGATGAATCATACATTGTTTTCGAACGACAAATCGACTCTTGTAGTTTCACACGAATGATTTGTCTGAGATCTTACTTGATAGTAGAGTAATCGTGTATCTTGTAGTTCGTTGATAATACCAAATAGGCGAGAACGTAGCGAGGAATCGATCAATGGCATTGATAATGTTCATGTTGCCTACGAGAATGCTCCCCACAAACAGTAGGATAGGAGCAGCATTCTTCACACACTCACTGCGTGAAATGACCAAATCCACTGAAATCACAAAAAAAATAATTTCGTCTATGCAGACCAGTGAGTATACATGAGACAGTGATAGAAAAATACTCCAATCGTCTGCAGGTGAAGAGAAAGAAACCAATGCTATATGTAATATCCCCTAAGGCCATGCCGGCTATAAACAGAAACTCTTGTCGCTGACGGTTT